AAAACCAGAGACACCTTTTCCTACTAACTAGGCATTCCATCTTAGTCCTCAGAGGTGACAACGCATCTGCATTTTGATTCTTACTTGAGGATATATTTAAATGTCTATGGGCCACAGTATCTATTGATCATCAGGTGGAGTGTGTGCTCGTTGGCACCCTTTTTCTATCAATTAATAAATGCTTACGGTAGTTTACTAGTGTATCAGGCCTTCTTTCAGTACTGTCCGCAGGTATAAAAACGTTATCTCACTTTACCCGCAATTATCGAGCGAATTTATACTGAAGCGGGCAAAGAGAAAAAATAACTTATGTTCAACTTCGTTGCGGCGAAGGATTATTTTTTTATGTTTTAAAAAAATGTACAATTCCCTAAAACTAATAAGCAAATAATTATGATTCGCGTTTCTGTCTACATGTAACCTTTGTCTGGACTATATTCAATTTTTATAAAATTATTTTATTTTTGCGCAATATTACATTTAGGTAGATTTACACAGGTTCAAAAAGTTTAAGAAATACTGAAAAGTCGCCTAAAATGAAATTAAATGATGAAGGGAGAGCTTTAACAACGGCACCATGCAATTACTTCAACACATGGTGCATTTAATTAATAGAAGAGCCCGATAAATATTTTTTTAATGGCAACCTTACAATTACTGCCAACCTCCAGTCAATAAATAATACTTGTAAGAAACGACGAACAATAAAAATGAAAACTATGATTCTGATTAAAAACCGAATAAAATTAAGAAGTAATGAAATATGAAATGACTTGTACTGAAGTTTATTCAATGAATGAAGATATTCTTCATTTCATTCATATAGAATTAAAATAAAATAAATCTGAACTCATTAGCACATTTAAAATGTTAAATAAAGCTATATAAAGACGCTAAATAATGAATTAAATTTTATAACATAATATTATTTGAATCTAAATATTCCATAAGACAAATGAAAACATTTTTACTTTTTTTAGAATAACTTAAAAGAGAACGAATTGTAGAAAGAGGTATTTTAGAATTGTAGGAAGAGGTATTGTAAGTTTTACCAAACTGTTAAATAATGAAGTATGATCATATAAAGGACACGAGCAGAAAATATGGTTGAGGTCACCAATATCTAAACCATACTCATATATACAATTTTTAATAGGAAGCCTATAGCAAGGTGAATCGAATTAATAGAAGTTTCTTAATTTCAAATATCAAAGGATTGCGAGAAATGTCATAGAAAGGATTGCATAACAATGCCGGTAAAGAACTAAGAGAATCTGAAAATATCACGCTTGATTTTAATTTAAAACTATAGCAATATTTTATTGCTTGTAAAATGGCTAACATTTCTCGTTAAATAATGAAATTTCGGGAGGACTTTTCATTTTATGAACTATTCTCCAATTTTGATAGTATATTGCGTAGACAGTAAAACCTTTCGAGTTAATTTTAGAAGCATCTGTAAAAATATAATGATAACCTGGGAAATTCTTATCCTAATGTAATGAGAAAGTAAACGAATTTTAGGGATTAGTAGATGATTTGAAAAATTGAAGAAACCGAAAAAAAAAGCATCCGATAAATATTGTCGTCTAATAAAAAGTGGAGGATCACCGCATTCAATCTGCAAGGCATCGATAGGCGATGAATTCATAGCGCCTATAATTAATCTTAAAGACTTGTGTTGAATGATATCTAAAATTTTCAATCCTTTTTTATTAGCCGGTTCAAGAAGAAATGGGGCATAATCTAATCGACTTCTTATAATTGCATTGTAAATTAATTTTAAAGAATATGGGTTCATTCACGGAGGATTTTGTGCACTTGACTCATACCGATGCCTCAGCTTGTCCGAATCTGGTGATAAGTCACTCTTTTGTCAGTCTCTATCATACTCCGCACAACACTGATGTTATCTTCAGTCGTCGCCGTAGAATGCCGTCCCTCATGCAGATGATCGGTGTGATTAGTGCGACCACGTTTAAACTCATTAAGCCAGTTGTAAACAGTGGCACGAGATGGGGCTTCATCGTGAAAGACCAATCGAAGTCTATCATAACTTTCTTGTTGACTTAAATGACATCGAATGTCATAAAAAATCATTGTACGAAAATTTTCTCGCGACAAATTCACGTGACACAGACAATTGTTAGATTGTTGCTAACTGCCCGTATTTCGTTAGCTAAAGAATCCCCTAGTTACAACCTCGTTTAAATTTAATCCCTAATTATCAAGACGTTAAATTGGTGGAATTGTGGTAAAATAACAGTATCTATTTTAGTAGGGGCACTCATAACAGTTATTTCTGCTTTTCTTCTGCAACAAATGTTATTTTTACTGAATCCAATGATTAATTATACTATATTTTTATTTAAAAAAAATTTTATAGGGGAATCATTGACTGAAGTTACATCATTCGTATAAATATAATTCATCGTTTTTACAAACTTGTCTATAAAGCAACCGCAGGAGCAGGTAGAGTTTGTCAGGGAAATCATCAGGAGAATATACTTTTAATCTTACATATTTAATTGTTTTGGCCTGTCAAAGTGATACTCAAAAATAATTTTCATGGGCAACATGATAAATAATGGACAACGTTGTATATAAAACTCTATTCAGGTAGAAAGGGTAGAACATTCTTCAGTGATTGTTTATGAATGCCAAAAAAGATTGATTAAACATTCAACCGCTAGGTAAATGCTGAATAATGGATTTCGGGGGAGCTTTCACCCTTTGACTATAAATTCCAGCGTTTAGAGCACTGCTAGTATTTTTTCAATTCAAGTATACTCGTCTCTTCGTTTTCACTGATGTTTATTTATACATTTTTATAATAAAATTTAATATTCTATTATAGAGAGCATAGGCCTATGTTAAGCAGGTTTTTGATAAACTATAATGAATAAATAAAGAGAACACGCATGTAGAACTAAAAATATTGGTAATTTTTATAGCTAATTTGTCGCTATTTCTCAAATACCGCATAGTCGAGTTAGATTCATTAGTTAACCTCTTGGTCGAAGTTCGACTTATCTAATCGGACATTTTATCCCAGATCCGATACTCGTTAATAATATCGAGCGTAGTGCCCCCAAGAACGATCAGTAAAGGTCTAAAATAGACGTTAGCCATGATTTTTTTCTTGCCTATGTTCATCTTCAGATCAACTCATATTTGACGCTACTGTAATCGTTGAGCATCATTGAGCTCCAGGGATTCTGCCATTAATAATAATAATGATGTCCCTCCCGACCGAATTTCGATTACAGGCAGAAATACTAAATCGTCGACAAATCGAAGGTGAATGATGTATTTGCCATTGATGTTAGTAGCATATCCTATCCAATGCAGAGCTTGAAATCGTCTTCCAAGACTTTCTGTCATTTTAGACTAATTTGTTATTTGCAACTTTAAGTGCTGAGGGCTTTTCATTATTTAAGGTCCGCTATAGCAGACTATATATATTTAATGTAATTTTATGATAGGATTCGTTCATTATGAAATTTCTGCAGATTTTGTCAGTGTTACCACTTGTTGTTTAAAATATCCTTAAACATCTAATTTACCTTAGGAAATATCTACTAAATCAAAACAAGGATCATTAAATTAAAATAGTCTAAAGCATAATATTTTGACCTATCTTTTTAGTCGTCTTCAAGGAGGTTTTTTAAGTTCTAATTTGAATGTATGTTTTTGTATGTATGTTACGCTAAATATTTGGCAAATGTGAATAGATTTTGATTATATTTTTTTTTAATAAATAAACGTAACCTCAATTGAAATATGACCCCATAAAATGTTTAAGAAAGTAATATGTACCTTTATAGTATAACAATATATGAAAGTTTTACTGTAACTTATTACGGTTTTCTGCTTGACCTTGAGCTTGCGATTTTAGCCCAAAAATCCGAATGTATTGAGTTTAAAACAATGGGCTCCTGATATAACATTGTGGATAGTAAAATTACGTGCAATGCACTAGCGCCCTTATAGTCAGTAAGGTTTTTCTAGGTACATATTAAAACGTTTTAAGTCGCACAAAACAGATCGTGGATAATACATAGAACAATTATATTTTTATGAGGTAAAATACAATGTACGAGGTAAAATACATTGGTTTATTCTTTTTTTGCAGAGAAACGTATTTAATCTTAAAAAGTTTACATTTCCTGATGGAGACATTGCTTTTTTTTATGAAAATCCTGATACTGATTGCATCCGCGTCTACATCGATACGACCGATCCGTTTGCATAGCGGTTTAAATTAAAATCTCGATATCTTTTCTAACCAAAAAAAAAATGTGCAGGGTTGTTACTGTAAATGATTTGCAACACATTAATCTCTACTACAATTTTCGAACTCTGGTTAATTGTAGGTATTGCATTGAACAAAATTTGGTTAATTGATAATCCAGGCTTTAACTATTAATTTCTCTTTTAAAATCTCTACAATCAAAGCTTAAGACCGAGACTATAAATAAAACTTTTGTTAAAGTTTCAAAATTCTTTCACTTAATCTATCTCGAGTATGGGAACGTATACATTTTCATTAAACATAATATCCTATATTATATGGGAAAATATTCTATAAACATTTTAAAGCTACATAGGCCGATAATGATGGAACAATAATTAATAAAAGCGTTAGAAATATTTTAAACATTATTTAAATTAGACCATACTGGCTGGCTTTTAATGGCCGTCGCCCCGATAGCTCGTTCGGATGCAGACTATACCAGACCTAGATGTATGTTTATGTGCAATTTATGTATGATTAACGAAAGAGAATATATTAGAAACATTTAAAAAATAAAAAGATATGTAGAAAGAAATGTATAGAGTGCAGATTAACCAAAGTTATTATATTTATTATTCAAGCTATATACTATATTATATTCGTATCCTTACAAGAAATCTAAATACCTTTAAATAGTTGAAAATTCTAGCTTCATCCTTAGACGTTTGTTATCTAGAATAGTAGTTTCATACAAAAGCTTTACCGTCCGTTCTGCGGTCCCACGTTGCCGTCGTTGAATGAAGAACTGGCGGTTAGGTCCTTGTCGGGTATTAATCCATTTTCCATCCCGAGGGGAGCGATACATTGAGCTGAAAGCAAGAGCGATAGATATTAACATGGAGTAGATTGTTGAACTAAGTGAAATCAAAGTAAAATAGATTTCTAGGCGAGTTCCGAAAGGCTAAAAATATATTTCCATATATTTGTTTAGCCTTTCGGATATATATATATATATATATATATATATATATATATATATATATATATATCACAACATTACGACATTACAAGTGGAGGGCGCACCTTCCATGGGGAAGGGAGTTCGTAGAGACCCGCAAAGGGCGTTGCGTGACCTCTGTGTGGTAAGGTGCATGGACAAAATATAAAGACTTAAAATACTTAGGTTTAACTCTTCTGCGGCTAACGCAGGTTAACATAGTAAGTAAGTATTTACTTCTCTCACCCTTGGTCGAGTCCGTTTGCCAAACAGTAATGGACTGGCGTTGTCTCGGTTTGAAAGGCATGTGGGTGGCGGTGAAATTACAGGCACATGAAACGTTCTATAGTCCTTATATCCGAGTAAAGGAAGATCTAAGCTATATTGCCGTTGTTATACGCAGAGGATAGTGCTAAACATCAAATAGACCATAATATGCTCGTCTCATCACTTAACTCTTACTCATATGTAATTAAAACGCGGGCTAAATATTTTTATACAATGATCCTCAAACACATAACCTTGGAAATCCCTGGTTTAAAATATATGGTAAATATTGCGTACGCGTGAAAAAGTTAAAAATAAATAACACAAAAGCCCCGTTATGAAAATAAAGTTGAAAAGTTGCACGAGAAATTACCGACGTCGATTTTCGAACAAAAGCAACGCATCAATGTCCAATTTGATCACGAATCAGATTAAAGAATTATTCTCGAACATTCGTACAATACTTTTGTTTAAAATTGATTTTGCCGTAGGTACATATTCACCATATTTGTAGGTAGGAAGTCCGACAGCGACACCACGAATGATCGGACATTATAATTATACCGATAATAATTACAATCGACACGAAACCACGTTGTATATATATATAACTGACAATACTCATAGGTGATTCAATTAGTTCGCTAAGTGTAAAAAAGTCATTAATAGTTTTTTGTCTATGTACTCGAACTAGAATAATTACTTGAAATATTATTCGTGTTTTCTTTGCCGAGTGATTCCTGTACCCGGTATCAGTGGGAAATAAAACAGGAGACGGATAGTAGAATCTTCCTGATATCAACTCAAATTAATAAAAAATGTGGTTGCTGAACCGCACGCGAAGAGTGGAAACTATGGCAAATGTACACCCTACGAGGCAATCTATGAGGGGGGCCTGTGTTCATCAGTGGACTTTTGATAGATTGCGATGAAATGAATTCCTATTTTAATCAATAAGAAATGGTGAATTTCAATTTTTAATATAGATTAATACCAAACTATATTTCGATATTTAATTTATAATTTTAAATATTAAACATAAAACTTTCTCTTCTTTCAATTATTTCGAAGCAATATTCTTGACTGTACATAGACACAGTCACACAGTTATAGAATACAGAACATCAATGATTAAATTCCATGTCTAGTCGCAACATCAAACGGTCCATATATTTTATGTACAGAGGCTATCGCGCTGCTAAATATTAAATAACGTCGGATGACTAAGTTACGCCTTGGCAAAGCAATGAATAGATAGAATTATACGTTGAATTAATAAACTAACCTCACTATGGCAGTGATAGCTCTAAGGTTTATATTTCAATGCTGCGACAAGTTAATAAAGTTCAGTGTCAGACGCCCGAAGCGGTTTCGCGGCACAAATAGAAATCCAGTATAATATTTTCAATTTCTTTACTTAGGCATATTCGGACACTGTTTTGTACAATAGCTAATAAATATATAAAAAAGTTTAAAGGAGATTAACTTCGTCCACTCGTGTTCTTGGTGGATAATTTTTAATCGATCTTAACTGATTAAAAAAAACTATTAAGAGGTTAAAACAGAGGCAAAAAAACTAAGACATAAAGAGGCGTAACATCAATATCAGAACGCTGAAAGTCTGTGTATCATTTAATTTGGACAATAGCGGCACATCATTACCAACAAATTTGTCATTCTGAGAAATGGTTGACGGCGGATTTGGATAAATTTTACACAATGTAAATGTGTACAGAATTGTATAGAGAAAGTAATTTTACACATAAGACCAGAATACCCAGGCAGAATGTTACGGAACTTATGAGGGTGGTTGAAATAAGAGTAATAGATCTAGATCACAGGAAGCAGAGATTCTGATTCGCGATATCCCTCTTGTGGCATTTTGTAGGGTATGCCATCCGAATGCCAAGCTTCGTAAATATTTCCAGACTGTATAAATAAACGAAACATTATGTTTCTAAAGTGCTACTGAATAAAAGTGAAAAATGTTTATCAATTTTCCGTTATCCAAATAACAGAGGGACAAATATAGTAAATACGTGATAGAAAAACACGTTATATTTTTTAAGCATTTGGCCGTACCGTTTCTAATAATTATAGACATTCGATAACTTCAAATAAGTTTAATGCAGCTTATTAAGTAATTGTTAAGTTTATGCATTCATCACACTCAGTTTGGATAATATTTCATATGTCCTCATAGCACTGACCATCAATGAGAGAATATAAGGATCATAGATTATTATATAAATATTTGAGAATAAGGATTTTAATCGTTATTGAATACTCGTTTTTAATTTTGTTATTGCATATTGAAAGAAAACATTGCCTACGTTTGTTATTTCATAAACTGGCTAATTTAAAAAAATACAATTTATTTACATGATCTGCTGCTGATCATTTATTTAAACTGAGCTGGATTTTACATACAGATGATAAATAAAGCGCAATCTCACCAAGAAATATATGAATATTTTGTGGATATCGCTCATTCATCATTCATTAATTACACATTGGATTGGCTCATAGGGAGGATATTTGCCATAGCCGCTACCACTGGCGGGTGCATTGGCAACCGCAGTTTATTTTATTATCAGACGTTAGCAGGATGGTGCCGCTACCCAATCCCTGATTCTTTTTCTTCTGCCGCCTCTTACAACACCCAAGAGCTGATATTATAGGGACGTGGATTCTCCTACGCCGCCACTACACGACGATGATCGATGACATTAGAATACTACGGACAAAAGATAACATCAGCCTAATGTGTTCGCGCCTTTAGGCCGCTCTTAAGCCTAGTGGCAATTACATTAAATATTTCTCGTCGCCCTCTCAGAGTTTTAGTTACTTATTTATTATTTATATCGTTCGCCTAAAATATTAATAGACATTATGGATATAATTGTTTGCCATATTCCGCAGCCCGTTTTAAGCTTTTCTTATTGATCACCATTAGCAGGCAGTTCAGTAATTTTTCGAAATAATCTTATTCGTATCATAAAACAGAACACAAAGTCCACCTGCCGACAATCACGAAGCCGTCTCCGTTTCCGCCGAGCACCTAATGTCGTAGCTCTATAATAATTATAATTAATTGGAACACGTGTATTACAATATAAATATATTCAGGTCAAGTATACAAATGTCCAAATGGCTATATTATGATAGTATGGTAAATCAAGAGCCGTGATAGCTCAGGAGCTCAGCACTTGCTGTAAATTTCACAGTACGCGAGCAACTCGGGTTCGATCCCCACCAGCACCAATGAAATAGTTAATTGCAATTTTAAGTGCTGATTTATCAAGTGCTCGACGGTGAAGGAAAACATCGTGAGGAAACCTGCATGTCTAAGAAATAAGAAAGAAAATATTTCGAAGACGTGAAGTTCGCCAACACGCATTGGGACACCGCATCGGACTTTTCCTTGCCCTAAGACCCTCCCAGAATTGAGAGGTCTGTGCCCAGCAGTGGGACGTATAGGCTGTAGTAATTTTAATTTTAACTTTATAGTAAATCAAACGCTAAATGCCTTAATTCATTAGAGTACATTCTTCAAAAACAGTATAAAGCGTCTGAGATTGCACTGCACTGCATTTGTGAGAAGGCAAGCAACACAATGGGAGTCCCCAACAGCAAAAAAAAGAAACGCGAATCATTATACCAAAAATATAGTTTTGATAAAAGCTAATGTTTTAGAATAAGTAAACATGCAATGCAATGCTGTCTAGACGGTCGCCACCCGCTTTTCAGCACGAACTATTATTTAAAAAGAGTACACGTTATTACAAATCATCATTTGTTTCTTAAAATTTGTTAAAACGAATTTAATTTACTACCATTGTAATCAATACACGAAAAAAATGCTACATGTAGGCTCGCACTATAATTGTGAAGTTAATTAAACTGGCCTATTAAATAATTATGAAAGTTTCTGACAAGTTCCGTGTCCCTGTTGAATAAGTTATAACGCATACGAATGTAAAGCTATATGTATTGTAACAGGTGGCAATAAATTAAACGTTAGAAATTAAATGTTATGGGTATATATTAAAATAAATTCGCAACTTAACACTTGCTTAAAATTTCGCAACGCTCTCGCTTCGGATAAAACAAAAGTTCGCTTTGTTTGCATCAATATACACTAAAATATATTAAATTATGATCCATCCATCCATTACAGCCTAAAACAGTCCACTGCTGAACATAACCCTTCCCCATAGTTTGCCCTCCATAGTTCACCATTGTTTTTTATAGGAATATGGTGACAAACGAGCATTCAGTCCACCCGACGGTAAGCGGTTGCTGTAGTCCATAGACATCTACATCTATCCTCGATTACAAATCAAAATGCAGATGCGTCGTCACCCGTGAGGACTAAGATGGAATGCCTCGGTTTCAGTAAAAAGGGTCTCCGGTTCTCTACACTCACCATACGAAACAGCGGCGTTAAGCTGCTATATTTTTACCCGGAGACCCTTTTTACTGGAAATGAGGCATTCCATCTTAGTCCTCAGGGGTGACAACGCATCTGTATTTTTTTTTTGGTTAAGACCAACACGGTAAAAACGATATATTACATTTGACAACCATTAATAATACGTTACT